TATATATACTGTATATAATACAGCTTTTGAATGACTATATTTCAACAAACGAATCAGTAATTAGATAGAAAGATCGGCCTCTTTCTACATCTTTAAAACCGGAGGCAGGTTAAAAAAACAGAGCAGTAAAGGAATGAAAAACGTGGAAGGCGCGTGCTTTTATTTTGAAAGCCGTTTTCCGTTTCGCGGCGCACCCCCACAAGAAGAAGCACTTTGTCTGGACTGAAGGGGAAAAAAGAAGAGGAGGTGTAGGGACACCGAATGGGACTGACCCGGTTCAGTTTAGCCGCATATCTCTTCCTGCAGGGCAGAGGCCCGACCGAGGAGGAGACCCCCATGATACGGAGGGAGAGGAGTGTGCGATAAGGGTGCTGAGGGATCGGGGCTTGTAAAGCCAAGGACGGTGGTCTGTGGGAGCAGGGGGAGGCCGGTTTTTGGAGGSACATCAGAGCCCGGCACGCGTGGAAGGATGGTGGTGATGCAGCGGGAGCAGAGCGGAGGATTCCCGCAGAGCCCGACTCACCGCTCCGCCGCCGCTGCAGTGACAGACGTCAACCCCAAAACCGGATTTCCAGACAGATGCGCGAAACACTGACCACCACCCCTCCTTCACACATCCATCCTCCGCCTCCTCACTCATTATAGCCCAGTGTGTCCACCCAGGGGTTCGGACGCACCAGTTRGTCTGAGGCGCTCGGACCGGAGCGAAAGTGGGGGGGAAAGATGTTGGCGCGATGCTACCGGGCCAAGCTGTCCGTGTGGGCCGCCCTGTGCGTGCTGGTGCTCTGCTGGTTTTACGCCTTCCCGGTCTACAGACTCCCGAGCGACAAAGAAATCGTGCAGGAGGTGCTGAGGCAGGGGGACGTGTGGCACAAGAACCAGACCGGCATCGATTTGTACAGGTTCGACCCAAATTGTTCATTTATTTTTTTAAAAACTGCAAACTATGATTTGAACCAGCAAATGGWGCCGTTTGAAAGAGTTCACTCGTTTGGAAATAGGTTGTGATTCTAAAATGCGGGCACTCATTCAATGTAAACAAAACATTGGGTTGGATCTACTGAAAACCACTCAAAAAAAAAGCTTAGCTGTTCACTTTATGTTAAAATTATCTGAGTTATAATTTTTTAAATAAATGGGCGTCACCATTGTTATTTGTTTTCAGTCATTTTGGCTGTTTTTTTTAAAGTAAACAAACACAAATAAATGTCATTCATTGGGTATAATATTGGCTGCCAGGATTTCTATAATTTGCCATCATAATACATATATTTAAATGGATTTCTRTCCGTCCTCCTATTAAGTATCATCTCAGTTACACTGTATTATTTAACCCACAGTGGTCCATTGTCCCAAGCAATAATAGGACAAGGTAATCACAGATAATAACACCTGTGGAAAACACACACCTGCAGGCTGATGCTTATATTCAGCTGGGTCTCTTTGGTCCATTTTTAGAACTATATAAGCATGTGTTATATCCACGTGTTGCAAAATCAATTTTTGGAACTGAAAACGTACTATCAGTATCAAAACAGTGGTTCATTAATGGTTTCAGTTAATGTGATTTGAGTATTAAAACAGCTGTCTAGTGTCTGTCCACAGAACGTCCTGCTCTCTCTGCACAGGAAGCTGCTGACAGGATGCTGCGACCCCAGGCGAATGTTTGCGGTGACGAAGGAGAACTCTCCTCTGGGCAAGGTCCTGTGGTACGACGGGGAGTTTTACCACTGGCACACCGTCAACAACGAGACACATTCACTTTTTGTACAAGTACGTTTCCATTAAAGCAAAAAAAATTCTGTTCATGTATCTATCTATCTATCTATCTATCTATCTATCTATCTATCTATCTATCTATCTATCTATCTATCTATCTAT